GTACTCGTACGGTGGACGANACGATATATATATATATATATATATATATATATATATATATATATATATATATATAAATGACCAAAAAATTAACTTTCAGGGGTGTTTCGGCCATTTTACCTTTTCATATATTTTTAAAAATGTTTTTACAAGTATGCCCAAGATTTGAGCTCAATTCAAATTTGTAACATTAAAGTAAAAATGGAACACTACCTATCCCCACCGTAGATTTGATCGGATGGTGAAAAGGTAGTAAAAAAAGCCCTTAAGCAAATTTAAGAGTTTTCCACACACAGACACATAGAGAGAGAGGGAAAGAGAGAAAGAGAGAGATGCACACACACAATGAGAAATGGATGATAAACTATCAAATTGTTAATTGTTTAGAGGGGAAATGTGTGCGCGAGTAGTACTCTTCGTAAGTAGGAGCTTGCCACACAAGAATTTCCAAGACGTCACCAATGCTGATTGCACAATTAATTACACAGTTTTAATGGATTCAGTACACGTGCTTGTTAAAAACACTATCAAGAACAAACACAAACTAATACAAATATACAATAAATAATTGTTAAGTTCCAATTGTGCTTTAAAACATAAAAGAAAAAGCATTTCTTTGGAGGCCCATTAGCATGGTTTGCACGAGGCTAAAAACCTATTTAGACCCTTTAACTCCCCTCATGCAAACCTCGTATCATGCAACTAGACCTAAGGCCATATGACTATAACAAATTAAGATGTCTCTTTTTCTCTTGTTACTGCAAGTATGGGGATATATATCCTCGTATCATGCGACTAGACCTAAGGCCATATGACTATAACAAATTAAGATGTCTCTTTTTCTCTTGTTACTGCAAGTATGGGGATATATATGTCTATCGTCCTTTTTCTTTTTGTTTTAATTGGTGTTATCTACCATTTCACACTTTTGACTTCAAAAAGGAGAAACACAATACAAAGAGGTTTTCTAGAATCATCACTGAGATCAAAGATAAAAATTATTCACTCTAACCTTTTCTTTAGCCCAGTTGAATGCAAAGTTGTAGATCTCACGAAATTTCTCTGGAGAAGAAGCACATGAGCCAAAAGAAGACATTAGCATTGCACGCACACACACACATATGGGTGCCCCCATACACAGAAAAAAAGAGAAAGAGATTGAATCGTGATCATTAATTAGTTGTCATAGAGTCCCATCATGAAGAAAAAAAGAAACTGAAAGTTATGTGGTGACCTAACCAACTTCACAGGCAATAGAGATGGATTGGTACATTTTCAGTTAAATCACGAATTGTAGCCATGCCCATGCATTCCAAAGGAGAAATACAGAAGGTCACTCTTATCTGGCTAAAATAGTGAGAGCCGCAAAAGCATTGAGAATATGCGAATAGTATAGACATACGTTCGTCCTTCAGCTCAGAGCGCATAAATGGTATTCTTTCTCGGAACTTCTCAATTGAATCCACCCTGCACCATTAAATGCTGACATTCAGTTCAAGGTAGTTCTCAAATTATCATTAAGTAATATTATATTAAAATTCATTGGGGCATGAAAAATCACAGTCCACTGAATGGGAAAGTAATTCTGAATAAGCCCAACAAAACTGGTAAACTATCTAAACAAGCGATTTATGGGAGATGAACCTACTCTTTTTTAATCAAACTAGCCAGTTTAGCCTACTACTGCACATCACAAACAATTATGAAAGAAAAATGAGCTCCAATAGTTCAGATTACTTGTAACAGAAATATCTTACCCCAGTGCTTGTAGTCCACCTATAAACTCCGGCCGAGAAAATTCACACATGGTGGCAGCCTTCATATGCCAAGACACTACTAACTGAAAGAATGACAAAACTCCATTAAAGAGTCTGCCTGAACCAGGGATCCTCAAGTGTAGAACCATATCATCAAAGCAGTACATAGATACATTTGCCAGTTTCTCTAGTTAGTCTTTCTATCAACTTTACAATTTTTATAATGATATTATTCACCACAATACTGCCCCATTTTGGGAAAATGTTTAAACTTGTAAGATTACTTCGTAATATTCACTATGCAAATGTCTGTAAGTCATCATACACTATCAAATTAATGTTTGTACCTCTCAGTAGCCTAGATTTTAAGTATGAATCATGCACTCGATCACAATTCAGCAGCATGCAGCATACTTCCACTTGATGCTCAAGCCTTGCTTAATTTAGTCCGGTAACTCTTAGGTATAAATCAACACAGATAACTCTCTGTGATAAGAATTTAAGTTCGGTTTGGAAATAAGTAATATTTTGTGGCTCACATTTGCTTATTAAGAAATGAATTGTAAAATGTAAAGAGAACATGCAATCAAAATTTTAAATCACCATGTGTCCATGACTCTGCAATCTGGGGTCCAATGATGCCCCCACATAATGGAAAGAAGAAAAAAAATATCATCACACATATTTCATCTTACACAAAGTACAAATTTTTCTCTACAAGAAAGAAACGACAGAACCAACCCATTTTTCCACAGAATGATGCAATTTCTACATAGGAAAGCATATCATATTCCAATGGACTGCATTAAAGCAATCTCCATGGATCATCACCATCCAACAAAATGGACAGAGAGAGAGAGTGGAACAAACAAGAACATGACATTTACCCAACACTGGCTCTTGTTCTCCCTACATCATGTCCATAAATGACGGATTATGGCTTTTCATAGTCCAAAAAGGTTGCACGTGCCATAGCACCCGCTCACTAGATGTTAACCTGGGTGGCCTGGAGCCAAGCTCCCCATCCTAGGCCAATCAGGGGCCAAATCACCCGTGCCAAGCCCAGAACATCGGATAAAAAAGGGCCCAATCACACTCAGCCCATAAGTCAATTTGAGCTGAGCTTGAACCAGGTTACAGCCCATTATAAGCCCAATTTGTGTTTGGAATTCTGGCTTCCTTTTTCCCAAAAATAAGGTTTCCATACATCCATTTCAAGATCTGACATTCCTAATTGACTTCTCATTGAATTTCTTTTCTTCGCTTGGCAATTAAACTTTATTGCTGCATAAAGCATATCAGGTACAAAATTGTGGAATTGTCAATACTAACTCAATCCAAGCAACACTGGACAAAAAATGGCTATCAGAGGGAAGGCACTATAAACAACTCTGGGCTATGCTTCTCCCTTTACCTAGTGAGAGGACTAAACTAATCACTTCTCTTGAAGTATGGGGAGAACTAATTAAGTGTTCATACATTTGTCAAAAAATTCACCCAAATGGGCAGTGAATCTCCATGGAATAAGAGATTGTCTCTGTTGATGAAAGTGACATTATATTACCATATATAAGATAGTTATAAAAAGGACTCAGACGATGCGAGTCAGGGCATGGAATAGGAAATTGTCACTTTGGCCATGCTATAACATTTGAGGCCCCCTTCAAGACATTATCAACGTCCATCTTGGTTTGAAAATACGAACTCCAGAAACCTAAAACCTCAACTTCATTGGAGTCTGTTGACCCCGTCCTAAGAACATGAGCAATACTTCACCACCATGTCATCGAACCAGTGTTCGAAAAACTGGCTGGTCAGAACCGAAACCGGCCGGTTAGCTCGCTACCGGTGGGGTGGCGATTCCGGTTAGGTCCGGTTTTAGTGTGCTAGTAAAAAAACACATCGTCCTAAAAAAATCGGCTAAAAAACCGGCCGGTTTGGCCTTGAACCGGCGAATTGTTTACAAAACCGACCGGTTTTGTAAAAACCGGTCCAGATTAGCGTTATATCGGGAGATATAACAAAACAACAACACTACAGCAAATAGCAGCCGTTATTTTTAACAGTGCCCGCTATTTGGGCAGAACCCGTGATTCGCCATTTTTTGCAGCTTTTTTATGCTTTTTTATGCTTTTTTATGCCCTTTTTTTGTTTTTTTTGGCTCAATTATTGTGCTATACCTTCAAATCTTCTATAAATCCATCAATATTGAATCAAAAACTCCAAGATCAGATCGATTTTAACAAATTTTTGGTGCATTTTTTCGTATTCTTCAGTTTCTTATGAAAAATCTGCCATTCCTTTGATTTTGGCCTGGTTTTTCAGTTTTTTTCGATAAAAAGTTGGGGATTTTAATAATCACAAAGATACATATATTTCAAGACTCCTGATTTCATTGAAATGGAGAGATTTGGGGCTCAATTTTGAGACTGAAGCAGACAAGGTAATCTCGAACCCAAATGTTTTTAATTTTTTTCTTAAGTTTGCAGCTTTTTTAGGATTTTTTGGACAATAATTGACTAGTATTATTTATTGCAATAAATAAAAATACGATTTTTGAAAAAAAAAAAAAAAAAAATTGGAGATCGATTTTAGGAATTTAGGGTTTTTTGGAGCTCGATTTAAGGAATTTAGGGTTTTTTAGAGCTCGATTTTAGGAATTTAGGGTTTTTTTGTTTTTAATGTTATAGAATATATATATTTATAAAAATATATTTTTTGTGATGAATATGAGAATATATATACACAATATTTGTGTGAGATTATTGATTGCATAAAATAAATGATCGAATTTTAGAACAAAAACAAAAATTTGGAGGTCAAATTTGGGGATTTTAGGGATTTTCGGGATTTTAGGGTTTATTGAATGAAAAATAAAATTGATATTTTTTTTGTGAGGATTGTTTTTAATGTTATATAATATATATATTTAGAAAAATATGTTTTTTGTGATGAATATGAGAATACATATAAACCATATTTGTGTGAGATTATTGATTGCATAAAATAAATGAACGAATTTTAGAACAAAAACAAATATTTGGAGGTCAATTTTGGGGATTTTCGGGATTTTAGGGATTTTCGGGATTTTAGGGTTTAGTGAATGAAAAATAAAATTGATATTTTTTTTGTGAGGATTGTTTTTAATGTTATAT